CATTCAGTCTTTCGTAATGTCCTGAGTGGTTGTGATCTTTCCAGCAATCATTTCTTTGATTGTAAAAGTGCAAGAAAACTTGTTTTAATAAAAGTTGTAAACAGTCTCTGAATTGTTACTTTTATACAGCATCCTAAATGAATCCAAAGAGCATACATAAACAAACAAAACAAGTACCATATTTATATTTTTTCTTCAAGGGCAAGTTTATTTGTTTATCCGTATTTTCAACCCTTTCATTGCATCTGAGAATACTGTACTACTAAAGTCAGGCTAAAACACCCTCACTTATTTTCCTTTTATTGTTTATATACTGTGCAATATTACTATAAGGTATAACAAATTTATTCACTTTAAAAAAAATTTATTTGATTTTAAGTCACACTTCAACCTCATAACTTCATATTTTTCAAGAAAACAAAATAGGAGCTAGAATATAGTGAGATTTAATTTGATCTAATCCCGAATTATAGGCCTACATATGAAAATAAAATTTACAATCATATAAAGATGGCGTAATGAAAGAATGTTAACAATTCACAGTATGTTAGGTTTATGATTATTCATTTCTTTCAAATATTTATGGTTTATTCTAGGGGGGGGCTGGTTGGACAGTACCTCCGGGATCCTCTGTAAATCATAATAAATCAATTAATACATACATAAATCATACATAAAGGCCTATATTTTACCTTTACTACTACATTATCAGGATTTTTTGTGTATTTCGATTAATTTTTTGTTTATTTCGATTAATTTTAGAGGGTGTTAAAACCCCTCAACTCCCCTCTGGCTGGGCCCTGACTGCTAGAGAGTATAGTGTTATGTTGCCACCCCTCATCCTCCTCTGGAACAATTCCATTGCTATTGAACCTGGTTTTTGATAGCATACACAACACCTGCATAAATTGTTAATGGGCTTAATTGACTAGTTCATTTTGTTGACTACAATTTTTCGTTGAGTATTATTTCCATTTTACTGGTTTGTAAAATAGATATAAAATTAATGTAAACCAGTGTGCATTAATTAGCATTATTCGCGTGACCAAAACAAACATGGCCAATTGGTTTAGCAACAACTCTGCATTAATATAATTTAGATTAAATTTCAGAAATTAAAAATTTTAACATTTACGCACATGAAGTCAAAAAATAATTATAGGCTAACTGAATTTAAAAACTGGATGAAAAACATTTTTTTTTTAAAACCTTGATTATGCATGATGTATCATTGGGGTAACTATGTAGCCTTTTTGTTTTGTTGAGTATTTACCAGTTTTCTATTTGAAAGGTCTTCTTCGTTAAGTAGGATATTACTACTGCTCAAGTGGGCGTTGTTTAACGAAGAACGACCAGTTGAGTACGGCCATTATGACTTGCAAGTCTTCCATTTTGTTATGAACGCAGCATGGATTTGTTACCAAACAGGAAGGTAGCTGTAGATTTTCTTTTGGATGCTGCAACAGCTTCAAGCAAGGCTATTCGATACAAGTCAAAGTTCTTCATATATTCTGTCTCTATTTCATGGAGTACAAATAAAGAATTGGATGTGGAGGCTGCCTTAATTACATGATCTCTGCAACTTGCCAGGAACTGAGTTTCAGTCAGAGAAAAGTGAGCTGCAAAACAATGGGAAAAACCAAGTAAATAATATAATTAATGCTAACTCTAAAACACAATTTAGAATATGAGCATGGTAACTCTGAAAGATGACAGACTTGAGGCCATAATTGACTCTACGTTTCGTTCTTTATTAGAACATTGTCCAGAATGAATAAGTCCAAAATGGTGATGTTTAAAGGTTCGAGCTGTTAAGCTTTCTCGAATAGTAGCATACATGAACACACTGAGAGTTGTGAAGGTTTTAACTTGGGACTTCATTACATCATATGACTGCTGAAATTGCTTCTAAACAATCTCTTATAGAGTCCTTATTATTTGAAAATACTGATATTATTTATTATCAATTCAATGTTCTAATAAAGAACGAAACATAGAATCTGTTCAGGACATACTGTACCACAAATGCTATTAACAGGTACAATATCAGGGTAGACCCACTGTTCGCGTAAATTCAAATAATGTAGACCCCTTTTATTAAAAGCAAACCATTTTACGGAAAAATATGAAAAATCTGGACCCATTTTTCAAAATGAGGACTCATTTATGCATGAAACTGCATTAAATTTGGACCCATTTTTAAAAATGTGGACCCATTTTTTGTCGACCCATTGGCATTAGAAAAGTGTGTGGGACTGTCCCA